TTTATTTATTCCAAGGAAGGGAAAGGAAAACATAGAAGAAAACCTAAGAAAGGAAAAGATCAAGGGTCTCACGAGACCAAGAGAATGGTATGAGAGTCGATTATGCAAGGGGAAGGTATTAGCACCTCTCATATCCGTTGTACTCAACGAGATCCACTCTTGTTGTTCTAATAAAAGTGGGTGTTTATATTTAAAGCTTACAAGATAAGGGAGTGCATGAGAATGAATTGCTAACAAACAAAAAAAGTTTTTATTATTGCGCCCGCCTCGATTTCGAAACTTCATGCCTACGTATCCCCATCGTGCAATAGGGAATCCGAGCACCGTAGTTCTTCTGAAAAATGATTTCTCTATTTGTGTTTTTTAAATGAAAGATGATACATTCACATTCTAGCAATGTACATTTGTAGCTCGACCTTTGGAGACTTACGCATCGTATTACGCATAATGGAAATAACATGTCCTTTTTTATGAAAAGATTTTCAAAAGAAAAGTCTGAAGGCAAAAGAGATTTGATTGGTTGAGTCTTTTTGGTAGGAGAATACATCAAATATCTCCATTAGGCAAGGGGTACTTGAGTACTTCTCCTTTACTTTTGAAATTGTTCAAGTAAAATTAGATGTTTTTGGATTTTGATTAAAAAATAAGTTTTAGTTTTAAATGCAAATGCAAAAGGGAAGAGAAAATCTATAGAGGAAACTCAAACCCTAAAGTTGTCATGTAATATGGACCTAAAGTTAGGATATCAAATGGGAAACTACCTAGAAGTTATCATGTATCATGGTCCTTAGGGCAAGAATTAAGGGAACTTCTACCTAATGTTAGCATGCTTGGTTTAGAACCTAAAGTCTATTAAATTCACAGCTTAAACATGATGAAATAAAACTCCTAAGGGAACATGTGAGCATAATAAAGTATAAAAAATTCACATCAAAATGTAAAGGCAACAACCAAAAATAACATCTCAAGTGCTTGAATAAGACTTAAGACAAAGTCACACTTAAACAATTGATCAATCAACAAGTTACAAATAAACAATGCTAAACCCTAAGCATGCTTCAAGTCATCAACAAATAGGAAAATATGTGTCAAAGTAAACACTTATACACACATACAAGTCCCTAAGGATCATGAAGGTGTGAAAAACACAAGAAATGAGAGGTTTGAATTGGGTTTAAAATCAAAAACTTTTCTTAAAAATAACCCCCTTTAACTGAAAATAGTTTTTCTCCACTCTTGATAATAAAGCTAAAGATGCAAGAAGGAAAGAACAAGTTATGTTTATACTAGTTCCCTTGAAAATTATCAAGCTATTCTATTCCACCCTCCAAGGTGATTTCGCCTTATCAAACAAGGTATTAATCCAATAATCTCACAAATTATTACAATGCACAAGCTAACTGCAAGTGAATTACGTACAACCTCTAAGACATACTAATCTTAGACTTCTCAAGGATTCTAACCAACCGATTTCTTAAGGCACTGTCGCAACTGGATTTTTATTCAGATCCACCACTATTAGTTTTTATCCTAGGGAAGAGAATCTAACAGAAAATCCTAATTCACAGACAAAGATTCTAGGTTTCAGACTTATTTAGATGAAAGGAAGGTGTTAGGCACCTTTCATCTACCTTGTTCACAAGGATACTAGGTTTTAGGTTTGAGTTAGGGAAACAGGATTTAAATTTTATTAGGGGAAATGGCTTAAATGTTTTATAGGGGAACTCACTATGATTTTTAATCGTATGCCTACGTATCCTCTTATGATGAATCAGAGTCCCAATTCGTAGTTCGTATGGGTTGGTGTTTTTTAGGGGTCACAAACATACTTTGAATCACCTAGCATTTTGGCCGGGAATAGTGATTGTGGAGATTTTTGGCTAAATGCGCGGTTAGTCAAAATCTGTTGGAAACCCTTTTGCAAAATAATTGATTAACTTAGTTTGTTGCGAAAAGTGGTTTGAGATTGGTTAGTACCTTTTTTATTGTGTTAATTGCGAAGAGATCTTGATTAATGCACGGTAAAAAATATTTAATGTAAATAATATACGAAAATAATATGCATTTGAATAAAATAATTTACTTTCATGATACAATAAACAATTATATAACAATAATAATTAATATCAAGATTAATAATAATAATTGCAAATATAAGTAATTATATAAAAAAAATGGAAAATAAATAATAATATAATAATACTAATAAGATATTGAAATAGAAAATAGATAATAGTATGAAATAAAAACAAAATTTAATTAAGACTGGGTGGTGTATTATTAGTTATGTAGTAAAAGATGGGGGGTGCTAAAATTAGATTGAATTAGGCCCAAAATAGTTCAGACAGGGAGGGTACAATTTGTTTTGAGCTTTAGTAACTCAGGTAAAGGATGGTGTGGAAATTAACTGAGCTTGGCCCATTACAGCTTTAGAATGGGTCCGAATTGATTGAGTGGGTGATGGAGTATAGGCTTATGGGGGGACTTGGCCTTACGATCGTCCCACGAGGATCAAGCGGATGAGATGGAAGGGTGTATGATAATGCCATATACTCGCGTGTACCTGATTCTTACGGATTACAAAATTATTTTTTCACTTTGTTTTATATCATTTTTGTTTACAAACAGAAAACAAGAAACCTATCTCTCTCTCACGCCGTATCCACACAACCCCTTCCCTGTAAACCCTAGCACCTCCTCACGGCGGCGGCTCACCGGACCCAACCCTCTAACCTAAATCTGACCCAACCCAAAACCCCCAAATCAAATAATAAGAAAAAGAAAAAGAGCTAAGTGAAGTACCCCCTTTCGCGATAGCTTCCTCTGAATTCTGCGAATTTCTGGGTTTTGCTCTCTTCTTCTTCGTTGGTTTTTAGGTTGCTATGAAGGTTTGGAGATGGTGGCAGACAGTGGTGGTGAAAGGATGATTAGGAGTACGGAAACGGAGGTGATGGTAATGACGATTGTGGTTACAGATAATGAAACCCCAATCTTCCTTCTCTTCTTCGACGACAACACTGTGTGGCGGTAGAAATGTTTAAGACTAAGCCATTGGATTGACTAGACTTATACAGATCAAAATGAAAATCACCGCCGTGCTTTATTGTTTCCAAAGGAATGAGAAAAGAGCGAATAACCCAAAAGAGGGGGAAAAATTCAAGGTAAGGGGGTTGGTTATGCAAAGGGAATGTATTAGCACCCTAAACATCTACGATACTCCGCAGGAACCTCTTTGTAAATCTGTGTATTTTGGCTATAAAATGTTGTATAAAAATAGATGGTGGAGGTGAGAAGAGAAGTATTTTTTATGATGTTGCACCCGCCGCGGTTGCGAACCTTTCGTGCCTACGTACCACCTTTCGTGCAAATGGGGATCAGGGTACACGTAGTTCACCTTTAAAAAAATTTAAAACACAAGTGTGTTGGTTGTTTTTATGAGATAAGACATCATCGTCATTATCCGTGTGGAAAACATACTTACTACCCACAATCATGAGAAAGGAGAATTTGCATCATCTCAAAGTGGAGGATATAGCTTGGATTTTAAAATCAACAAAGCCTCGCTCAACACCCAAGTGGAAAATATCTCACTTCACTATATATCATAGAAGTATAGTTGTTTACATCACTACAAGGATTGACAAGAGTCTAATCTTTTTGAGAAAATTTTAAGATGAAAAGCCAAGATGGCAAAATAGTTTGAATGAGATTGATTGAATTTTATTCTTCTCACAAAAAAAGAGTCAAAGTATGATTAATTCGACGAAAGTTTGATTAAGAAAATATTTTTGAGAAAAGGCATGGACCTAAGTCCAAGTTTATTATGAAAGTGGTTCGAGTTTAGAAACAAGAAGAGTTTTCAAAAGGAGGGAGAAGATTTTTGAAATTAAAGAAGATGGGAGGAGATGAAGGGACTATCTTAAAGCAAGAAAGTAAAAGCTATCCTGATGCTTGTGCTTGTATTACGTCCTAAAGTCTAATCAATGTAAAACAGTCAAAAGAGAGATTAATTGTCTCATGGAATCCTAAAGGAGCATGGCATTTCAACGCAAGATAATCCTCAATACTCAAGCATCTCATTTGATCAATATCACACAAAAAAAAACACATAAAACAATGATATTAAACTTGATTTGAAAAGAGATCAAGAAGAAGAAGAAAAAAAAGGAGATAATAAGAATAAAAACCTAATTAAAACACTTAAAAAATCTAAAGTATTATTATATGTATTATTATATATATATATATATATATATATATATATATATATATATATATATATATATATATATATATATATATATATATATATATATATATATATATATATATATATATATATATATATATATATATATATATATATATATATGCTTTTTATTATTTTTATTATTTATTTAGTTTTTTAATACCTAACAGAAATTTAAAACTAAAACAATTAAAAAAAAGGAAGGGAAATATTAAAAGAAATGAGGAAATGGGGGAGGTGCGAAATTCTAACTTAGGTGTGCTAAAAAATATCCAGGGCTCAGGGGTAGGATGGGGCCCAAAGCAATTTTTGTGTCTAATGCCTTCAGCTCCAATAACAAAGGTAACGGGCCAAGGAAAGAAGGTAATTCAGTTTAGAACCGGTTTGTTTTATTCACAATGCCATCAGACTAAAATAAATGGGCTCGGGAAGAAGAAAAGCCCAACCCGGTCCAAACAACAATCATAAACCCCAATCCAATTTCTTTTTTTTCAAAAGAATTCAACATTATTTATTTTTATTTCAAATTTATTTAGTAAAAAAAAATTAATAGAAGAGAGCTAGGGTTATAATACTCGCGACTGTTGGTCTCCTCACAACACAAACTTTCCTTTCTTCTTCAACAAATCGTAACCTTAATGAGATCTCTCCGCCGTCATCTTCATGCTTTAATTCGCCGTGACTGCTTCTTCAACGTCAACTTCAGATCGTCGTCTCCGCTTCCGAGATTCGTTTCCGCCCTTCGATTTTGATGCAGTTCCGTCCTTCAATCGCTACCTCGCGATTCTGTCTTCGATTTGCTTCATTCGTCTCTTCTAATTCAGCCTCCATTCGCGACTTCCACCGATCATCTTCAAATGTCGCTACAGTCATCGTCGTAGCATTTTCATCTTTGATCCGGTTTCTTCGTCTTTGTTCTCTCTCTAAACAGCATGGCTCCATCTCACTACATCGTCGTAACCTCTACATGCATCGTAGGCACTCGACTGTTTCAGCTTTTGATTCATTATCTTCTTCGCAGAATTTGTCACCTCGACATCACCGTATCAGGTCCATTTCAACACTATCAACCTAAGCTTAATCCTAGTGAAGCTAATACTCAGACAACGATTCGGTCCAAGAACACGCAACAATATAACTAACAAAGAGAGAAGGAGGAAGTACAAAATAAATCGTTACTTACTGACCGGAGACACTCTGGAGGTTCTTCTATGGAGACGTAATCAGATGGAAAAAACCAGAAATCTTCAGGTATGCTCCATCGTTCTCAAGCATCTCTCTTCTTCTCTTTTTTCTGATTTCGCACGATTTCTTAATTTTTGCGCGTGATGCGAGATGTCGCAGATTCGTCGAAGGTTTTCGAAGCAGAAGCATTTGTTGATGAAATGATATGTGCGTAAATTCTTGTTGCGTTGGAGAAGGTTGGTGAAGATTGGGAGCGAAGATGATATTGCAGTAATGATGATGATTGATGAATATTAATGCTGTTGTGTGATGAAGATTGGAGGCGCAGAGAAAATGCAAAGGAACTCCGCAGAGGAAGCTTTCTGAGATCAAGATTGGGCGAGAAATTGCAGAGGAATTTTGCTGCTTCACAGAACTTCAGAGAGAATTCTGAAACTTCTCTCCGAAGCTTCTGCAGAAATCAACGTATTTTTCCTCTCTTTCCTCCTTTTTTGGATCTGAAGATGAAGTCTGTTATATATCAGCTGCTTGGCTTGTCTGAGAAGCTTCTCAACAGGTAAGATCATCTGAGCCTTTGATTTTTGAAATTCTGTTATATCAATTGAATGGATGGGATTCCATTTGGATTTAGCTTGCACAATCTTTCGTTATTTTGTATTTCTGAACTTTTTAGAAAGAACTGGCCATATCAGCAAGCTTTTAATTCTTTTCCAAAATTTGTTATGTAATTTTCTAACTGATTTTGTTCTATTATTTTCTGAGCTGGAAGTTAATTTTTCACGAATTTGTATTTTTGTTGGGAATTCTTATTTGAAATTCTATTTTCAGCTTGGCGCGCATGCATCATTTCCACTAGCAACTTGTGCAGGGTATGCTGGAGAGGAATAAAAACAAACTAAGCCCTCTTTTCATGTTCTCGATAACTAAGAAGAATTCTTGACCTGTACTAGCATCTCTCAACTTTCTTCTGTGGTAGTCCCACACTTAAAGCTTGTTGTAAAGTACGTATTTGCTCAAACCATCAAAGAAGGTTCTTAAGGCATCTTTACTTTCAAATTTCATCTTATATTTTTTTATTAAAATCTGAATCAATTTTTTGATGTAAATGCAGGGCAATTTTTGGTACATATTGTAAACTCAAGTTTCTTCATGAGCATGGACAGAATTTTAGGAGAATATCATTAGCTTTTGAATCAACTTCAAGGCTATTTGGACGTAGACAAGTTGTTTTTGTAAATGAAAAGTATTGTAGGAATTGAGTCGTTCAAACATTGGTCGTTGATTTCAATTTGAATGAATTTTGATTGATTTTTTTTATTGTTGAATACATCTGTATCTTGAAATCAAAATGGAACTTTGAATGCCTTGTAATGCTTGAATTAGTTCTTAAGAATCTCAAAATTTGTATGCTAAGAAAACTCGAACCATGATACCTACTTTCAGAACTTTCACTTGGAATCATGTCGTGATATGGATTATAGAGTCTTGGCTTCATTTTGAATGAATTTTCTAATGATGAATGTGGAAAGATCTACGCCTTAAAACCTTAATCTTACATCTCGCACTTGCTTGTTTGAATTCCAAACAAACTACATGAATGGGTCTTCCAAATTTAGCCAACTTGCACCATAAAAAGAAATCCTTTATAACAATCTTGAATAAAAAACAAATCCACATAAATGAATTATGTCCCACACAATTGAATAAAATTTGAAGATTGATCTTGAAACAATGTGGAATGAGAATGCCTTAAACTTCAAGTAATTCTCCTTTAAAGAAATTATCACAAATGGACTTGAATTTGCATTGACATTGAATGATATTTATATAATCAACTTTGAATTCCATGCAAACCATTACATGAATTTCCCTGAATTAGTCTGAAATTAATCACATTTCTTGAGTGAATCTTCAAATCACCTCCAATGGAACCTTAATTTAAATCTTAAATTCATACTATCTTGCAATACGAGCAATAAGTACTTTGAAAGAACAATAATGCTTTGAAGTGTGAAGAGAAATATGACCAAGATAATCTTAATATGAACACACTAATTCAATGATCCTCAATCTCCAGTCTAATAAAAATTCAAGAAGCAATCCTATCTTTTCATAGCTTAAGCAGCAAGAAACATCTTGATTTGAAGAAATCTTCAATCAATCATTAACCATTTAACAAATAACATCACAAGAATGAAGTCATTGATTCAATCCTCTAGACATCTTAACAAAAATGTCTTGTGGAGAAAGCAATTAGGAGAAGCCCTAAATGATGATGGGCTTGCAATAGAGAGAATGATGATCCTTACAGCCTTGAGGAGAAAACCTTGAGGAATCTTGCCAAGGAAAATATCCATAATGCTTATAGATCCAAAACCCTTATTTTATACCAAGAGTGCTGAGAGAACCAGTTGAATCAACAAGAGGAAAGTAACAACCTCAATCCATAGGAAAAAACCCTAGTTCCAAGAGCTTTTTTTGATCTCATGCTTTAAGATCTCAAATGAATGAAAGATTTATGATGTAAATGCATATGATGTTATGAATGAACAAATTAGGGGTAAAAAATGGAGTATGACACACTGGTCCTTCGAGTTCTTCGGTATCTTTTCTGTGTTCTTCGTTCATATCCAAATTCTCCTCTTCTTCCAGTTTCTTCTCCCTCTGTTCCCAAATCTTCTTCACTGTATTTATAGGCGTTAGTATTTAGGGTTTGCTATTAGAATTAGTTTGCTTTGATTTATGGGAATTGCAAGAGTTAGGGATTGTGATTTGATTCTTTTGTAATTTGTAATTTTAGATGTGATTTTGGATTTGGTTTTAGATCTGTTTGTAATATAAAATCTGTTATAAAATTAGTTTTGTACTGCGATAGTTATCTTCAATCTCTGGGCTTGGATCTGTGTAACGTTTCCGTTTCTGTAAAAATATTTAGATTTAGTTTCTGAATTGTAAAGAAAATTTTATTTGGTAATTTTTTAGGTTTGTACTGATATTTCCAGATTTTTAGTATAGATTTGATTTAGTTTAGTGATCTTCTGGATTTGGATTTAAGTTTTGATGAAGATTTTATTTAACTCTATAAAAGATTTGATTATAGTTTTTTTAAAGTTTTTTAGAGATTTGATTCCGTTTTGTACTGTAAAAAAAGATCTGAGGTTTTGACTTAATAAAATGGTTTCAAGATTTGTACAGTATCTGTTACTGGAAAAAATATATGTAATTCTTAGCAAGTTGGTACAGTAACAATTTAATGAACACGGGCCTTGCGTTAATTACCTGAATTGGGCTTCTACTGTAAAAAAAAATCTTTCTGTCCAAAACAATTTTTATCAGCCCATTTTCTCTATACGAATTGGGCCTCAAATGGCCTTGACCCAACAAAATTTTTTAAAACAAAAACTTCTCAAAAAAGGTTTAATAAAATCTTTTTTTTTTTCATAATAAGCCATCTTCATAAAACCTTTTATCAGTAAAAGTGAAAATAATATAATTTGAAATACATTTTTTTTAATAATAAAAGGTTTTAATAATAATGTTCTTTTTCTTTTTAAAAAAAGACAGCAAATAACAAAAACAATGGGCTGAATGCCAAAAACCTTATTGGGCCTGTTACTAAAACGAAAAAAGGCTAATACAGATTCTAATGGGCTTTAACTTACAATTTCACCCTCTCTTTTTACTACCAACAACTTAAATGTAAATGGGCTTTAAGAATTTAAATTTAATAATTTTGAAATAACTTTTCCATTTTCGAATCGGATGGGCCATTGGCCGACATGCTTCGTAAATGGGCCTATAGATACATGGGTCTTTCCGATTTAGAAAGCCCCAATCCCCTGAATTAAAATACACTCACTAGTCTTGGATAAAGATGGGCCATCAGATATTGTTGTACCATCTTTAATTGAATATTTCTTCTTGAAAAATAAAATCATCGAGGTAGGGCAAATTTGACGTACGACAACTGCCCCTATTCAATTATCTTCCAATCGAATAGCGTGAGAAAATGCGAGTATTGCGCATTCTAATTGGTATTTTATTGAATACTTGGAATACCCCAAAATTTGTCCAACGAATCATAAGGTTACGCTGATATAACATACCCTTACGAGGCAAAGATGATGATATATCGCTTACCGAGGCAGATAGTCTTGAGCTTGAGAGTGCAATTTTGTATGCCTTGGTTTTGCTTTTGTTTATTCATCCCTTTTAGAGGGATGAATGAAATAGTAATTGGTGATGCATGGCAACTTGGAGACTGAAGCCATGGGTGATATCTGTGAATCGCTGCATGGTATCTTAGGAGATAAGCTAGGCCTGGTTTCTGAACATCGCTGCATAAAGCCTTAGGCAATGGTCTAGGTTATGGAATAAAGAAGTTTGCTGCACTAAGTCTTAGAAAATCAGTTAGGTTCACAAACCGCTGCGTGAAGTATGAGGCGATAGGCTAGATTTTGGTTTTCGAGCATCGCTGCATGAAGTCTGAGGTGATGGTCTGTGTTGCAGAATAAAGAAACACATTGCTGCATGAAGTCATAGGTAATGGTGTTTATTACCGAGCTAGGAACCATACTACTGCACGATGTCTTAGGCAGTGGGTTAGATGAGGGGAGTACATTGAGGCTTAGGGGTAATGTACTGAGTTTTATGAATACATTGAGGCTTAGAGTAAATGTACCGAGTTTGGAGAGTACATTGAGGCTTAGAGGCAATGTACCGATCTAGGAGAATACATTGAGGCTTAGAGGCAATGTACCGAGCTAGGAGAATACTTTGAGGCTTAGAGGCAATGTACCGAGCTAGGAGAATACATTAAGGCTTAGAGGCAATGTATCGAGTTTGGAGAGTACATTGAAGCTTAAAGGCAATGTACCGAGTTTGGAGAGTATATTAAGGCTTAGAGGCAATGTATCGAGTTTGGAGAGTACATTGAGGCTTAGAGGCAATGCACCGAGTTTGGAGAGTACATTGAGGCTTAAAGGCAATGTACCGAGTTTAGAGAGTACATTGAGGCTTAGAGGCAATGTACAGAGTTTGGAGAGTACATTGAGGCTTAGAGGAAATGTACCGAGTTTGGAAAGTACATTGAGGCTTAGAGGCAATGTACCGAGCTAGGAGAATACATTGAGGCTTAGAGGCAATGTATCGAGCTTCATTCATTACTGCATGGAGACTTAGGTAATGGACTACTTTATTAGGAACTCGCCACTGCATAGAGACTTAAGTGATAGGCTGAATGCGTCACGGCATGGAGACTTAGGTGACAGGTTGAATCGCAGGAGAAGTGTTTTGTTGACTGACCCTTAGATGATTGAATCAACGGTAAGATGGTTTGTTTGCTATGTGATATATGTGTATGATGTTTGGTTTTGAGATGGAACCCTGAGCGTATGTGTATTGTATGCAAAAATGTATAGTGTAGGTATGCTTTAAAATGTTATGAAGATGCTTCCCACATTCTCTCCTTTAAACCATTGGTCTTGAGTTACTAATTTCCTAGCGTTGTATGTTGCATTGTCATGGTGTCTTTGAATTATTTTGAAATGTTGAAAAGTGTTAGCAAGATTATGATTTTTTTTTGTATTGCAGGTGTAGGCGTAAGTGTAGAAGTGTGTAGACTTTTGTGTTATAAGTGCTGGCGTAGAAATGTGTATTGGCATATTTTTATATTGTAAGTGCAGGCGTGGGCGTAGGCATGTGTATGGACGTAGTGTAGGTGTGGTCGTCAAAATAGGTGTGGATGTGGATGTAGGCGTGGATATGAATCATAGGTAAGCTGCCTAGTGAGATTTTGATAGCGGAACCTTTGACGATTGTGTCTGTTGTCAACCGAGGTAGCTATAGAAAGGTGAATGGATAATGCTGAGCTTGTATTTGAATTGAGTTTGTCTTAGCTGGTAGTCATGCCTTGATATTTTTCCGCAGTTTTCTATGGGCATGTATGATTGAATGTAATGCATGTATGCATGTTTGATATGATTATTCTTGATGTATGCATGATGTATGGTATGTATTATTGATATGATCATATTATGAATTGAAATGATGCGATGATTGATAAATGCAACGAGCCTGTTATTTGAACTGCGGAACCGATGCTCAAGGCAGATTATTAGCCAAGACTTACTCTTTTTGAGAAGCCATGCTAATTAGGGGCTGGGCTTTTGAAAAAGTGTGCTAGACGGGAACTGGGATTTTGAAACGGTGGGCCAGACGGGAACTGGGCTTTGCACCAATATCCATATGGTTGCTTGAA